TCGTTCATCAACAGCCAAATGAGACAACTAAAAGTGATTGATAATGAATTCAAGATTATTAAATATTTCTTTTAGTTGATATTTTTAATACATATGCTTTATCATCATATCTATTCGATATCCAAGTCAATCTTATAATTCTTATCATTGCTACATTTAGAGTTTTGAGAGATTTATCTACGAGATTTTGCCCTGATTTTGATTCGATTAACTGGTAAGATATTTTAAGAGGATCTTCGTTTAATATTTATACATTAAAATTATCTCTTTGTCTATCAAAACGAACAATAAATTATTAATAGAATACGTTCATATGATTTGCGATTTTATTATGAGCTTTATGTGTTGTCTTTTTCTCTTAAGATTAGAAAACTGTTCAAATCGACATGCTTTGTTCATACATTTATTTGTCGTTTTCCTAATTGATTTCAACTTTTCTAGTAAAAAAAAAAATCTTAATTTAATAATGCAAGATTTTTTCTTTATTCATCAATATATTTATGAAGTCTGTTGAAATGATTGAATTATGACATGTTTCGTCGAATCTAGACTATAATTTATATGATGTGTTTCTCTCGTTTGTGTGCATGACAATCTGAAATCGCTTGTAGGAGAGAAATAAAGAAAAAGCAGAGGTGATTCAACAAAAAAAGGATCATATTTTTTTTCTTTCCAGCGCACGTTTTTATTGAAATAACCCAATATCTCTTGATCTTTCTTCTCAAACAAAAATAAAAGTAAATTGAAACGGAGAGCAGAAAAAAGTTGAGTTTTTTATTTCTAAATTCTTTATTGTTTATTCGTTTTGTATGTTTTTCATTGTTTTTCCTCTTCGACATGACAATTGTTTTAAATGAAGCAACATTTTTGGAGTAGAAAAACAACCTGACAAATAAAATTCATAGAGAAGAGAGAATAAAAAAAATGACGCACATATAGAGAAATCTGGCTCACCCACTGACTAGCATTCATTCTGGTAATTATTTGAAATCGATAAACTTTCATAACATCGATAAAAAAGAACCAACAAGGATTACTGGCTAATATCTTTTTGAAGACATTTTCGCATTGTACTCGCTTAATGCTTTACTTTCTAAGAACCGTTTAAAAGGATAATGAGTCAACTATCAGTTAAATCTTGTCGATATATCAATAAACACATACAAATAGCTTGTTCAATTTAGGACTGTAAACATAACCATATCTATTAGTCTTCAAGCTTATCGACACAAAAATTTTGCTTAATTAGTATAACGATTGTAGTGCAGTAATTATTTCTAATTTTCTGTGAGCAATAAAACTTCAAATATCCACCTGTGTCTCATTGTTTATCGATTTACTACACGGTGGCTAGCAAAAACGAATTCTTCAGCCTATGAAAACTGCCTCCGTATATCAGTTATTGAATAAAGTAAAACATCGATTCAACAACAGAAAAACAAATGCTCAGTTATGCTTCATTTAACCAAATGCACAGTCAGTGACAAAAAACTAAAGCAACTTTGTTTTTTTCATTTTTTTGTACACGCAAAAGCATTAATCTGATTCAAGCGGTGATGTAGATAGTAGAAGAGGACGACCACATTTTACCGTATAAGAGGAGACTTCATTTTACATTATAGATTTTTCAGATTTAATGTAATTTTTTTCAACCGAAAATAAGTTTTAGTACTTTACAGTATGTCGTACTTTCTTACCAAGAGATTTATGTAAAAATCAAAACAAAACAGAGTAGTAAATAGAGAATTTCACGCTCTACCTGTTTCTAAAAAGCAATTCCGTTTCCAGAGTTGATCTTCGCCTCAAAAACCTGATTTTATAGCGAATAGCAGGAAGAAGTGAAATTAGTTCTTACAAATTCTCTCGCGTTGCAATTTGGGTGTGGAGTGTGGGTGAGAGTGTGAGTGTGGGTGGGGTGTGGGTGTGGGTGTGGGTGTGGGTGAGGGACAATACTATACTCACACCCACACCGACCCACATCCACACCCACACCCATCCACACCCACCCTAGGCTAAGATAGACTAACGAGGGAAGGTCCCCAAGTGTGAGTCTCAGTTTTGAATTGGATATATACCAGTTTGTAGAGCTTGATGAGACTATAAGAAGCCTATAAGGGTTCGTTCCCATGCGCTGTCCTTCTCAAGTTATGATCATTTTACCTGATTTTCGGTCTTTGGTAAGGTATATGTGAACAAGTCGAATCAAAGAATTTCGCCCTGAAATTTTGCCTATAGATAGGTCTTATGGCCATTAGAAAGCTCTAAAAATTTTAGCTCATAAGAATGTTTTCTTCTTGAGATAT